GTCAAATAGCACATCAGTGCTGGTGTTTGGGGCAAGCCTGAGGCCTGCTTTGGAAGCCCCACCCAGCAGGTTTCTTTTGGGTCCTCCAGGGGGCTGAGAACTCCTGGAAGTATTACTCACAGCTTCATCTCAGCAATCAACTTTCTTGTTTTTTGTTTTTCCTTTCTTTTGAGGTGGAGTTTAGCTCTTGTTGCCCAGGCTGGAGTGCAATGGCACAATCCGGCTCACTGCAACATCCGCCTCCCAGGTTCAAGGGATTCTTTTGCCTCAGCCTCCCCAGTAGCTGGGATTACAGGCGCCCGCCACCACGCCCGGCTAATGTTTTTAATATTTTTAGGAGAGACAGGGTTTCTCCATCCTCCCCTCCCCTCCCCTTTTCTTTCCTTTAGGACAGAGTCTCACTCTGTCATCCAGGCTGGAGTGCAGTGATGAGATCTTGCCTCACTGCAACCTCTGCCTCCCAGGTTCAAGCAAATTCTCCTGCCTCAGCCTCCCGAGTAGCTGGGATTACAGGTGGCCGCCACCACGTCCAGCTAATTTTTTTGTATTTTCAGTAGAGATGGGGTTTCACCATGTTGGTCAAGCTGGTCTTGAACTCCTCCTGCCTGCCTCGGCCTCCCAAAGTGCTGAGACCTCAGGCGTGAGCCTCCGTGCCCAGCCCACTACATTTTCCTTTGCAGCTGCCATGGTCCTGTGGCGGCTGTTGCTGCCCGGGAATGTACTTCGGGGCTTTGTGGGTTCTACCCCATCTCAGCTGTAGCTAGGGATGCAGCTGTAACACTTCCTTCGGCCCTGGAACCTTCAGGATCCCTGCAGTCTGAGCAATTGGCTCACGGAGCTGGATCAGGATTTCTGTAGGGCAGTAGGGATTTCTCCATGGGAAGTGAGGATTGAGCAGTTGCTGAATTCGGACTCAAGATGTGACCTTGCTAAAATAGACTCGCTCTTCTCCATCCTGTCCACCTCCCCCACATGAATGGTCCTGAAACCCTTTAAAGGTTCCCTAGTGCCAAAGGCAACATTTCCCAAAGTCACTGTCTGGCAATGGCTGTTCTGAGAAATAACGGTTCTATGGCCAAGGAATTTTGAAAAACATGGCACATTTTTCTGACCAGCCCCCAAACACTTCTTTGGAGAATCAGAGAGTAAGTAAGAATATCAAAGGCTCTGAGAGGCCCAGTGATCTAAAATAGAAACCTCTCAAATGGACTCCAGTAATGATTTTTGTTTGTTTATTTGTTTATTTATTTATGAGACGGTCTCATTCTGTTGCCCAGGCTGGAGTGCAGTGTTGCCATCATAGCTCACTGGAACCTCCAATTCTTAGGCTCAGACAATCTTCCCACCTTAGTTTCTGAGTAGCTGGGATTACAGGCACATGCCACCATACCCAGCTAATGAAAGAAAATTTTTTTTGAAACCCCATCTCTACTACCCAGGCGTGGTGGCACATGCCTGTAATCCCAGTTACTTGAGAGGCTGAGGCAGGAGAATTGCTTGAACCCTGGGAGGCAGAGGTTACAGTGAGCTGATATTGTATCACTACACTCCAGCCTGGGCGACAGAGCGAGACTCGGTCAAAAAAAATTTTTTTTTATAGAGACAGGGTCTTGCTATGTTGCCCAGGCTGGTCTTAAACTCCCAGGCTCAAACAACCCTATTATTTCGACCTCCCAAAGTGCTGGGATTACAGGCGTGAAGCACCGTGCCTGACCTTGTTTTTTTTATTTTTTTGACTGTCATCTATTACCTTCCTGTAGCTCCAGCATTTAATAAAACACTATCTGGGGCCGGGCGCGGTGGCTCAAGCCTGTAACCCCAGCACTGTGGGAGGCCGAGGCGGGTGGATCACGAGGTCAAGAGATTGAGACCATCCTGGTCAACATGGTGAAACCCCGTCTCTACTAAAAATACAAAAAATCAGCTGGGCATGGTGGTACGTGCCTGTAATCCCAGCGACTCAGGAGGCTGAGGCAGGAGAATTGCCTGAACCCGGGAGGCGGAGGTTGCGGTGAGCCGAGATCACGCCATTGCACTCCAGCCT